GTGTTGGATACAGACTGAGCAAAAAGTGAATAAAGACCCCCAGGATTTTCCCCAATAATGATTACATTTACTACATCTGGTTGGAAGTCCCCCATCCCCTTCATGCGAATTGTCAACTTTTCATCAAAAACCTGAAAACTGAAAAAATTGTGCTGAAAGTTGCTGAAAACCAGAATTCCATCAGAAACCAAAATATGTTAGGGTTTTCTGAAGAACACTTTTTTTTAAAAATGGAGGAAAACAGACACTTTCAATGAAGAACTACATTTAAAAAAAGTAAAACAAAAAAAAGGTTCCGGTGGAAAATTTCCACCCAGCCCTAACATTTACCTTTAGTTGTGAGTATGAAGGAGTGATCAATGTACTGGTGTGCGAGGAGTGACCAGTGTACCAATGGTGGCTGGTTTGGGGAATCGTGATGCAGTTTCCACCCTCAATCATTTTCCTTTCTTCATTTTCTTTATGCACTTTCACTCTCTCTGTAAAGACCTGTCCATTTTCTTGATGGGTCCTGCGATCCTGCTTATTCCAGTATGCAAAACCTTCCTTACCCTTTCTCTGGTTATTGTGGGCTTTATAGAAGAAAGCAGCCTCTCCTGCGTGTTGCTGACAGAGGAATGACCCTGGAGACTGCTTGTGATGATCATATCTAAAGTAATGTGATGGGGGAATTGTTTATATTTTGCATTTCCAAACAGAGCACTTAACAAGACTGAAGAAAATAACATTCTAACACTACTGAGAATTGCACACAGTGATTATTGCATCAAGACCACATCTTCAGGCTGAACTGGCTTACTGGACTCATTCAACTATTTGAGATCTAGGCTGGGATTTTCAGTTCAGCCTAAGAGTATTAGGCAACCAAGTCCTACTGCATTTCAGTGACAGTCAGGTCTGGTCTACACTACAGACCTATATCAGTATAACTACATCGCTCAGGGGTGTGAAAAATCCACACGCTTGAGCCACGTAGTTATACCAACTTAACCCCCGTGTAGACAGCGCTAGGTTGGCAGGAAAGCTTCTCCCATCGATATAGCTATTGCCTCTTGGGAAGGTGGATTAACTATGCTGACGACAGAGTTCTCTCCCATCAAAGTAGGAGCATCTTCACTTAAACGGTACAGAGGCGCAGCTAAATTGGTGCAGCATTTTATGTGTAGACTTCCCCTCAGACAGCTAACGCCCACAGGTCTCTGAAAATCCCAGCCTGTGTTGATAGGAGCACAGACTGTTTCACGAAAAAGAGAAAATTAAACATTTTCTAGACTATCAAGGCTCTTATGTTTTCAGGATTTTTGGTGAAAGGAAAGAATTACTTCCCTTAAAGAAATGTCTGTCTAACAATCCCTGACTGTGTTAATCCTTCTCCGGATCTCTCTCTCTCTCCACACCAGTACTCTCTCTCTCTTTCCCTCAAGGCAAGTGCATCAGAAAGAAAAAGAACAAGTTGTGAGCAGAAGGTGTGATTTTTCAGAGAGATAAATGATTAATAGATTCCAAGGCCAGAAGGAACCATTGTGGTCTTCCAGTCTGACCTCATGTATAATACAGGCCCTAGAACTTCCCCAAAATAATTCCCTGGGCAGATCTTTTAGGAAAAACACCCTTCTTGATTTAAAAATGATCAGTGAGGGAGAATCCACCACAAACTTTGTTAAAGTGTTTCAATGGTTAGTTGCCCTCACTATTAAATATTTATGACTTATTTCTAATTTTATTTTCAAAATGAAGGCTCAAAAACTAAAAGGAAAATAAGAAAAAAACTTTTTTATTTAATGATTTTTAATAGCTTTAGAGATTTTAGGGCCAGAAGGAACCATTATACTAGAATATTGGAGGGGGTTCAGAGAAGTGCCACAAGAATGATTGAAGGGTTGGAAAACATGCCTGATAATGATAGATTGATCTGTATGAGTCTATTTAGCTTAACAGAGAGAAGGTTAAGCATTGACTGGACCACAGTCTAGAAGTACATACATGGGGAACAGAAATTGAATAATTAAAGACTCTTCAATCTAGCAGACAAAGGTGTAACAATAGCCAATGACTGGAAGTTGAAGTTAGACAAATTCAGACTACAAATAAGGTAGATATTTTTGACAGGGAGGGTAATAAGCCATTGGAACAATTTGCCAAGGATTGTGGTGGAGTCTCCATCACTGGAAATGTGTAAATGAAATATTTCTACGAGATCTGCTCCAGTTCAATCACAGCCATTGTATTTGAAGTAGTAATTAATTCACGGAAGTCCTGTGGCCTGCACAATGCAGGAAGTCAGACTAGATCACAATGGTCCCTTCTGCCCCTTAAATCTATAAATCATCGAATTTGATCCTATCTAGAGCATATCTGCTAATCAGAGACTCCAATATTGTTATAAAAACTCAAAAAGATGAAGAATGCACCACATTCCATGGTACATTGTTCAGAGCAGCTACAATAATGACTTGTGAGATGGAAAAGTTACCTTGAAGTAAGAGAGTTAAGAACCACAAACTATTTAACTTAACACAGAGTAGGTTAAAAAACTTAACGAAGAGTTGATTTGGTCAGTGTCTAGCTGTACCTATCTGGGGAGGAGATGTCTGAGAGCAGAGGGCTCTTTAATCTCATAGATAAAGGCATAAGAAGAGCCAGTGGCTGGAAGCTGAAGCAAGATAAATACAGACTAGAAAGAAGGCGCACATTTTTAACAGTGAAGGCAACTATCCCCTGGAACAATTTACATAGGGCTGTGGTGGATTCTCCATCACTTGGAGTCTTTTAAATCAAGACCGGAGGTCTCTTTTTAAAAGAATCACTCTAGTTCAGAGGTTCCCAAAGTTATTTGGCCTACCACCCCCTTTTCAGAAAAAAAATTACTCAGCTCCCCCCTGGAAATCTACCTTCTTTAAGCGAACAAACAGAAAGATGCAGTGACAAATTTGCGTTCTTTTACGTATCTATATTTCTACCTACGTCCTACAATATTGTAAAGAAAGATGTTGTTGTAAATAAGACACCTTGAAGCTTGAAATTATAAAATTATTTATTAAAATCAACCATAGTAACATTCGCATTACACACAGAAAATTAAGGTAACGAAGGCTAATATTAAAATAAAAATTACAAATAACATTAAAAATAATCCTAATGAGAAGGATGAACCTGGTGCTGCTATCAATTTATTAATGTTCAGCTCTATTTTTGTCAGCAGCATTCTT